CCATAAAAGGAGCAAAAAATCGATGCATCTTTTCTTTTTCAAAAGAAATGTATGAAAAAAATTATGAAGAATGATTTGGAATTTAAATATATCAATGATGAAATAAAAATACTAAGAGAATTCTAAGGTTTATAGAAATTTTTATTTCAAATCTTTATGTAGAAGTTTATAAAGATACAGTGAATAAAAGTTTAGCATTTTATCCCCCGAACGATAATTTTCCAACATTATAAGAACCCGCAGGAGATTTAGATGTTAAGCATAAATCAACAGGAGCTTACCAGCGCCTTTTTTATTCTCTAGGGACTTTTTTAGTTATCTTATTTTTCCAATTTAGTAAAATGGCTAAAAGTAATGTTTAAAGTTCACGGTTATAGTTGATTGGCTAATTTTTCATAAAATATTTTATTGTATTGTAATTGGGTTAGAATGATGGACATAGCTAAGAAAATTTTTGGCTTATGCATCCGTAATTATTATAGTTATAAACTTCTCCGTTTGACGTTTAGAATCTCTGGTGTCTCTTTTTTTTTATTTACCATTTTAAAATTGAAAAAAAATTCATTTATACAGTAATAATCTGCATTTAAAAAAAACACCTTTTTCACTAGTGATGGATACCCCAAAATTCAATTGTTCTAGTAATGGACATCGGTCGATACCAGTAATAGGTATACCTCAGAAACACTCTAAAATCTTTGTTTAATTATCAATATATCGATGGATATAAGATAAGATAAATGTTCAACTTACTCTTAGCAAAACTGTTAGTTGGAAAGTATGAAACACACTGATCTCAAGAGCACTATAGAAACAACAATGATAGGCATTATAAAAATTTCTTGTGGAGATTTTATACCTACAGTTGTCAATAGATGGCATTTTTCTTTAATCAAGAATACTGGAACCTTCAAATCAACAAGGAAGCTTATTATTTACATTTAAAGTCCAACCTGTCCATCACTGGAACCCGTGTCCATAACTGGTGTGTTCACGCTAATCCGGTAGCAATGCACGGGCATATAATGTTTTCCAATCATGGAAAAAATTCTATTTTAAAAGGTTCTATTTATTTAATTTTTTTTTTTGCAATTAACTCTCATTAGGTAAGTTAAAGAAAATATAAACAGCTTATTATGAGCTTACGAACGTTCCAATATGTTGAGAAATCCATAAATAGAGTGATCCAATTTTAGTCTCCTAAATTCATAAGGATTTAAAAAATATTCTCTCCTTTAATAAATTTTAAAAAATATATACAAATAATATTTTAATATAATAATCATAAGACGGATGAATGTATGAAGGCAATTTGAATTAAGAAAACTTTTGCTTTTCTTGCTGTGCTTTTTAAGTATTGCTATCAATACAGTCCACTAAATTCTTTCAAAGGCCCAATGATCTTCCGTACCATATCATATAAAAAATGAAGGTATAGACCCCAGTTCAACAGCATTATAAAACGAGGAACAAGTTATTTTATTTTAATGTCACACATATGTAAAAAAAAAAAATAATATAAAGCCACCAAAACCTAAATATAAATAATATGATTTTTATTTTCCGAAATTCTGTAGCCTCGAAGAGGTCCTAATCTGTCCCTGAAGATAGGAGCAAAAAAGTGATTAATATTGGAGATAATGATCCCCGAATCCTGTCAAACCTGAGTCCTCTCAACAATTAATCATCTATTAGCAGATTGATGAAAGTCTCTTCGGATTTTATGATCTTTCCCTACTAGATACTAGATATCAATCAAAATATAAAAAGTTGTCTCCACCAACTTAAATTAATCATTTTCGATCGAATTTAGGGATTAATAGATAATATTTATCGTCATTTAATGTGAAATCAATATTTGTTTTCAACTTGTGAAATACAAAACTGCATTGAAATAAAAATACATCTAATAAATGTGCGTACCCTTTGGACCTACGCTTCTTTATACGGGACAGCCCAAAAAACTCACATACGTAAACTACATACTTTTCAATCAAAAAATTTCCGCACTTTCACCAAGGCTCCTTGGTACGTCAGTAACACTACTTTACATAAAGACTTACATATGACAACAGTTAACGACTGCAAACAAAAGTATTACAAAAGATTTCACAATTACTTACACGGACATACCAATTCACTGATTCAAGGCATGGCCACAACCATCATGCCCGATGGGATCCGTAGGAGGTTTAAGAGAAGCTGAAGGATCTCCTCAACTAACATAAAATCAAATTAGGAAGGGACGCCGTGGGGTACTCCTTTCCCTCAAGCCTACCAACATCTTAATCTATACTCTTCTCCCTGATATCACACATGTTGTTGATGTTCCCGACATGTGTGAGTTTAAAAATAAAGCAAAAAAAATTAATAATAATAAATGTGTGCATAGAAATGTAATAACATGAGAAGATTTGTAGGTAAACTACCAACTGGAATCCTCTTATTAGATTTCTGTCACAAGACCAGCTTTCTTTTCAGATGTCTAAGAGTGTTGGTAAACAGAAATCGAAGAGGAATCAATGTTAGAAACGAGAGGTTCGGATGGTTCCGAAATTTACTTTTAAAGGATAGATGTCTGAATCGGGTCAAATCTAAAGCATATCGCTTCTGTCGGTGAAAAAAGTCGTGTGGAACAATTTTACATATTTATTCTCTTTGCCCTAAGGTAGACATTTTGTATTATGCTATAAGAGCCTTTCAGTTGACAAAATGACTTTGATTATAAATTTTAGTAATATTACTAGTGAAAACATGTAGATCTTTATTCACAGTTCTATATTTCAATACTGGAATCAACTTACTCATTGATTGTACAGATATTATAAATTTTCCATCTTGAATATCACTAAAATGACTTTGCTCAAAAATGTAAAAATTTCGTATAACAACTCTATAAAATCAAAAAAAAATGTATTAAACATATTCACTCTTATTTTCTATGCATGTTTCCCAATGTGTTATCAACTTTTCAATTCTTAAGCTGAAAACTCAGAGTTTTGTGAAGAAATTATGTCAGAAAATGTGTTTTTAATCTGAGAATCATATTTGAAAAATTTACTTTTAAAGTTGAAGTTTAAAGTTGTCCGAATTTCTGAACAGATGGAAATCTAATAGAAAATAAAGAATAAGAAGAATAAGGTGGGGACTTCGTAAAACGATTCGTTTAGTTTCTTCAACGTCTGTCGTGAAATATGAGGTCTGGGGTTGTGTAAGAGTGTAGGTTCCTTTGGGTTAACCGATGCAGATTTTTTTTTGAGACATTATGTCAATATCACTGCAGTACGATGTAGATGTATTAGTTTTATCTCCAGCTAAAAACTGTTACATTGTATTGAATGAATATATTATTGCTATTTTTAAAACTCCTTTTGTGTATATTTATTTTTTTTTAGATATCTTCAGAGTCAAAAATTTTTATTTATATTGTTATACAGTTGTTTTTCATTTTCTGTTTTTTTTTTACATCACAATTTATATATATATATAGTTTATCTTATTTATGAAAAAAGAATATTTCTATGATTTATTTCTATATTTGTATAGTGCTTTATTTTGATTCTTTTTTTTTTTTAATAATTTATTTAATGGAGCCAGACCTCCTGTAATTGTATATATTAATTACTAAATACTGAATTTTCATTCATTCATTCCCCTAGCTAAATGAAGAAATGAATTATTCCTGGCAATGAACACTACATAGAAACCACTGAAAAAACCCACACAGAAACCAATCATTTTTAGGATGCAAATGTTTTTCAATCCATCGGCGAACGGTCTGTTACCACAAACTTCCCCAAATGCCACGGTAATCTTTATTGCAACTTGGGCTCCCGGGCATCGAAGTTTAAACTCATATAAAAATTACTCCATTGTTGCATATGGACCTATGGTCATATTTAATGTTATACTAGAAAATGTAAAATAAATTGTAATCTGTAAACATAAACGAACTAAACAACAAAACTCGACTGATCCCACTTTGAATTTCTAAAATTGAGATGATAAATGATGATTTTATGTTTGAACTATGGAAATGATTGAAACATTGTTATTACAGAATTTCTTACTACATTAAATTGACAAAGTATTCTCAAAACTCCTTAAGTACATTCTTATTGCTTTTTTGAAAAATAGCTTGGCATAAATCTAACGCAATTCGGAAGTTGAAGATCGATAATCATTTTCTATTAACTACTGCTAACTTATTCAAAATACGATAATGTAACTTTTATTATTCGTTTTTAAGTTGAGGAAACGTTAAACAGTGTGCCATACTCTCCAAATATTTTGAATGAAATAGGAATTGTAAGAAGTTCTAATTAATCAAAATAAAAAAGTAATTTCAAAGAAATCGTTCATTTCGAGACTTAAAACTGCATTAAAAGAGCCATAAAATATGAAATATATTTCAGTATTAAATTCTCACTCATACTTCCATTGATTTTGGAATGCAAATTATATTGACTTTAACGATCTTAATATACCATAGAATAGTTCCAATTCCGTACTATAGTTTGTACATAAGTATCTTATGTAAAATTGATATTTCTTACAGAAGTTTTTTTTGCAGAAAAAAACGATTATTTATATATGGTTTGTAACTTCAACTGTATGTTTAAACTTCAACTTTAAATGTAAATTTTTCAAATATGATTCTCAGATTAAAAAAAAATTTTCTGACATAATTTCTTCACAAAACTCTGAGTTTTCAGTTTTAGAATTGAAAAGTTGATAACACATTGGGAAACATGGATAGAAAATAAGGGTGAATATGTTTAATACAATTTTTATGATTTCATAGAGTTGTTATACGAAATAATCTTTCCTGTGAAAACTGAAATTTCATATGAAACGACATAATTAATTATAAACTAAATTATCGATGCTTGCATGTCTGACGAGTCTCTCTCCTGATCCCTTCATTGTCTTAAATTGCACTTGTCTTGTTTTAACTGAGGATGGTTATTTTCCTCTTTTCCAGATCGTTCTGAAATGCTATGGACGGAGAGAATAGAATAATCCTCAACGTAGGCGGAATAAGGTACGAGACTTACAAAGCTACCTTGAAGAAGATTCCAGCTACAAGACTGTCCAGGCTCACAGAGGCGCTAGCCAACTATGACCCGATCCTCAATGAGTACTTCTTCGACAGGCACCCCGGCGTATTTGCTCAAGTTCTTAACTATTACAGGTAATGAGATATAATTATTATATATTTATATAATTATAGTTTACTTATTAAAATTAATATTAAATTTAAATTACTATCGAAAAAGTTAGTGAACTCTAATCCAGAAACTGTACACTACCAACAGAACAGAACACAGTATTTTCATAAGCAAAGCATTTCAAATAAATTGCGTTATTAAAAATATTTAGAGCTTAATACAGATCCTTGACTAACAAGGAAAATATTTACAAATTAATAAGGAATTCCTCCAATCGTTAATATTTAATCACTTAGTATTAAAATTCGTAAAACGTGAACAATTTACCACATTTCACTCTTCAAATTTTGATCATCCAAATTTACTCGTTCTGTATGTTTCTTTTATCTATTCAGCCTGTACAAACACTAAAAAGACAGATTCCAGACATCTTCGGCTCAGAATATAAAGGGTTATTAAATTCAAGAGCATCGGAGACAAAAAAAAATCAACACATTTGCTATATACGTTGCAAACGTATTGTAGAATATAATAAATAAATAATGTCTAATACTCATACATGCCACTACGACAAACTAAATACCGACATCTCATCATATTCTGTACGACTGTCCTGTTTTGACAATAAACGTTATTAATTAACAAGAAGTACAGTATAATACACTGCAAGAAGAAGACGAAACACTAAAGAAAAATATTATTTTATGTTTTATTTGATCTTCAACTCCACCATCAAGACTGAAGAGATTAAAATAGTTCTTTTGACTTTTTTAAATTATTGTTTCTTGGTTTTGTTTTTGTAAGCTTATTTTATTTTTTTTTTTGTTTTTTTTTTTCAAGTAAAAATTGGGAACGGAAACAAATGCTACTGATTGCTCAAAATGGTCTTTTAAAATAAAAGAGTACATGATCCATAATACATCCATAGTACAGTGTATGGTTAATTATAATGTAAAGTAATGGGAAACGGACACTCACCAAGCAACAAGAGATGTTGCTGAGTATATGGGAGAGAAAGATTCAAAGAAGAATATATGGTCGAAATAAACAAGGGTTCTTAACCGCATAAAATCAAAATTTGAACTTTAGGAACTATGTGGGAATACAGATATACTATCTTACATTAAAAAATAAAAATAAGATGGCCAGACCAGGTATCTGGAATGAATCATAAAAGACTATCAAAGCCAATAATGAAAGAAATTCCAGACGGAGAAACAAGAAGAGGATGTTCTGGACTACTATATACAGGAATACTAGGTGTACAACGCGGATAAAAAAAAATAACGGATTTGTATTGAAAATTGTTTCTTGCTAAGCATGAAGTATACATTTTTTAAGGTATTTAATTTTTTTAAGCATGTGTATACCATTGCTTAGAAAAATAAAACAACATGTTTATATGTTTTAAATAAAGAAAATGATGTTTTAAACTTAATGTGAGATACCGGCTACGGAAATAAAGAAGGAGTCTGTTAAAAGAAGCCTCTGCCATCAAATACACCTTCAAACTGGAGTACCTCTTACCTGGGAGGGGAGGGCCTTTTCTTAAGTTTTCTAGTAACTTGTAACTGGTCAAAGTAACTGGTTAAGTAACCGGTCCCCTTTAGAGTGTGGACAGTTTAAATAATATGATACCCGCCGAATTTGAAAGCCAATGAGAACCATTCTTTCCCCACTCTGGATTTTTGTATAAAATCGCCAACAAACGGGATGAGGTATTATGTTTTCTTCCTGCTTGGGAGATGGAAGAATGAGGAGTTAATTTATATCTTTTTTTCGGCTTAGAGATTCGGCTTCACCGAACTTAACGCTTGGCTTTGACTGGATCAGATAACCTCGAACCAGCAGATGCAATGATGGAACGATCAACACAATTTACTCCCATCATTTTTTAAACCTCAGATAAGTTTAATCCCCAACGAATGATTGATTTATGTTAAATAATTTATGAAATATTCTCAAACCAGTCCACCTGAAATCAAACTTTTATAGAGCTCTTATTAAATATATATTATCAAGTTTTTATTCAGTTTCATGTAAATATTATTTTTACACCAAGATATTCATTTAATTTGTATATATATTTGATTAAACGTAGGAATAAATTAAGTTTTTTAGTAAAGTTATTTTTAATTCTGCCACCTATTTATATCATGATGATCACAGGTAATGTTTGTAATTATAAAGCATGATAAACACAAACCAGCCTTTGAGTGAAGAAGTTCAATTAATTAATCCTGGACCAATCAATATATTATAGATCCGAATTTCTTTCACTATTTTTTATTATTAATTTTTACTAAGTATTTCTGGGTAACTATCCAGTGGTATCCCGAATAATTCACCCTCTAAAACATAGTATATATTTTAATATGGTCACAGAACTGAAAAATGTGATGAAATTTAGTCATTTATGTTCTGAAAAAGTTGTTCTCCATTACCCAATCTTTACCTTCTCTTAAAGAACATAAAATTGGCCGAAATACAATGCAAACTTTCTTTGAAATAATAAATACAAACAACAGAAAAATCGAAGGTTTCAAATCAAAACCAATCAATATATGTTGCTATAACATCCCTTGCCGATATGTTGGACAAATTAGCCTCTCTCCAATCCCTGCCTATTCGTATTAACAAAATACACCGGCGCAGACTGTGTTATAAATATATATAATAATAAAAATATAAATTAATATAAATTTATTTTACATTATGTTATTTTTCGATCAAATAAATTCAACACATGTAATGACAGTTGAAATGACAAAATTATATTCTTTTCATAACTTTTCGATGGATGAATTGCTTCTTGTACTATCTGTTATTAATTATAAGACCAATGCTAGACGAATGACGGTAAAGGGGTTTAGGTTTGGAAGATATATGGTGTTGGCTGAAGGGCGACCCAGTTCTGGCACGAAGTGTAAAATATAACTAACCGATGCTTATGCTCTGTCGCTAATTTATTGCGTATTTCATATGTTTACTTCGGGATTATTTAAAGCCTCTTATATAATTACTCTGGGAATTGATATCTTTTAAGGTGTACTTTGGATAAATACACCAGTATCTGACATGCTTAAGGGAATTTCTTTGAACATATAAGTGTAACAACTTAAATATTAATGTTGTATTTTTTGTGGGGGTGGGGAGTTCATCTTATTGAAATATCTGCCAAGATTAATTTAAAATCCAAGAAACATCTCAATTTTGAAAATTTTACATTTAAAGAATTATTTTGTTCTGATTCGGAATGTTCCTATAGGTGACAAGGGTGTAATTATACAAAATAAAGTGTTGAAATTTTATATTCTTCATTTTTTAATATTATTAACAAAAACTTATTATAAAACTAAATTCTTGTTTCTCGACATAAATTTATCGGTAAGTTTTGGCCACTGTCAGGAAGCTTTTTTTGGCTATAGGTGATTTTTATTTTATTTTTTAGCACCTTTTTGTTTTTACTGGTTTTAAGTTTTCAAAGTTCTGCTTTTCTGAATTTTTGTATTTTAAGGATGTTTATCTTCTATTATTTCATTATTTATTTTAATGTTTTTTGGCTATAAACAATTTCTTTGCGGCTGTTAAATTTTTTTATGGGGAAGGAAAGTATTTAGCAGCACCTATTCCCTGACTTGTTTCAATTACTTAGATTGTCTAAGCAATGAGATCTCTCATCTATCGCCTTTTTAGTCTCCTTCTCATGTTCTGAGGTACATCAGCTGTGGCCTTGTCTCTTATTAATATGCTAAGATGTCCGTTTAAATTAATATAAAATCGTTGGTAAAGTATCGTTATAAGTTGGTAAACTATTCGAAGATGGAGGTAAGGAGGTAGAGTTTTGTTAGTATAATGGTGCTTTTGTTATGAGTTCCAATAAGGTTTGATGTTTTTGTAGATGGTTCTTTTTACCGTGTTTCTTATTATTTTTAACATCTAATTAGAAGATGGGGCTCATCAATTTTTGTGATGAACTTAAACTAAAATTAAATTTAAATTTATTTTTCTCATACCATACTGAAACAACAAGAAACCGCTCGACGTGTCCGATTACTTCAGCACTTACTAGACAAACGTTCTAAACTTCCAATTAATTACAAAAGACTCATATACATGACTACAATAAGGCTTATTTGGACTTACGGAGTTAAGCTGTGGGGCTCCACTAAACCATCGAATCCTCTCGTATCCAATCCTCACAATCCAAATCCTTCGTAAAATCCACAATGCTTGGTACTTTATTACATCTTAATAAATAATAAAACCATCCACAATGACCTTAATGTTTCTTATGATTCAGATCTGGCCCAATCCAGATACCTATCCATCCTTCTCGTTTCTAACCTTGCTTCCTCTTCAAATCCTGATAACTCTCCGAGGAGTATGAAAAGAAGATGGCCCCGTGATCTACTAATGTAGACATATTAATAGAGTGCTAGCATTGGATAGTTTCTCATCTAGTGTCTTCACGTCATTATGTACACATGTTCAAATTTACTAAAGGTGTTTCTTTAACACAGTTGGAAATATCATTAAGAAAAAAAAAAAAGAATTATTTTTCATAAAACTTTTTCCATCGTTGAGGTGGTCTAGAAGGTTTAATGTGACTGAATGAGGATTTTTTTTTTATTGGTAAAATTTGGTACTTCTCTTAGTAATAACATTTTTTACTTTTGAAATTTTTAGCTCCTCATGAGGTCAAATCTTTGCGATGACATTCGTTTTACCATTTTATAAAATATTCCATTCGACCCGATTTTAGTCGTTTTTTTGTCGATTTCGTTATAAATTAGAAATATTCGCTGCAGGGTCAATATAACAGGGACTGAAGTATGATTTTTTTATAAATCAAAATCTTTGAAGAATAGTTATATACATACATATAACTAATATGTCGATCGAAAGTTACTCCAAAATAAACAATATGTTTGGAAAGTTTGTTTCTGCAGTTTTTAATTCTGAATTTTAGAGGTAGTTCCTTCTCCTTTTCTTGATGGGTAAACTTATTTTTCCTTAGTATTTAATTTACGTCATTAGATTTTCTTTTTTTTAAAACGAGAGTAATAGATTAATAAGTCCCATTTTCAAGACTTTGTTTAAAAGGTATTTTTTTAATTAACATAGGAATATTCATAAGATATATCTGATTTTTCTTATCCTGTAAATAACTATTACTAACACAAAAAAAATCTATGGTTGAATAATAGAGATGGAAATTCGGTAAAAAAGGATGGAGCACTTATGATTTCTCGTTATTCCATATATAGAGTCGATAGTAAAGTTATATCGATTATTGGTGGGGGGCGGGTTAAGCTCGAGACGGAGTGATTAAAAGTTGGTGAAGCCAAAGTGAAATGTTCTGTTTCTCGTTGAAACCGTTAGCTGCGGGATCTAATCGACTTAACTGATCCAGGATCGGAAAGCTTCCCAAGATAAGGTACTACAGCATCAAACCCAATTCCACAGTCGAGCACTACCTTATATATATATATATATATGGAGCTGAGTTATTCGTCCGGGCTAAGGCGCTTGCAATAGGTAATCAAAGTTAAGCGACGCCCAATCAAAGCAACGGTACTTTAAATATATTCAGCGCTTAAAATCATGGAATTTGAATATGAAATTAAGAACTGTTATTTTTTTAATTTTTGTTACATAATAATATGCCGTACAGCTTATAACGTCTTCGACAAGAAAAAAACATATTTTTATTTGGTTTTGAGAAATCAATGGGAATCTTTGCTTTGTCGGTCATTATTTTCTCTGATATTGTCATCATATATAAAGCATCAAATTTTTATTTGTATTTTTTTATTTATTTCAGTTTTAAAAAGTTCTAAACTGCTTTATTTTGGAACACATTGGTTTATTATCTTGTTTGAAATATAACTGATGACAGAATAGTGACACCCTATTACGAACAAGTATATTATTACATTAGTTTGGACAGATGAACTGTTGCATTTTGTTTTTCTTAATTTAATGTTACTTCACATAAAATAATAACAATTTTGAAAAATCAAATTTCAGTTTCTGCTTTAACTTAGTTTGATATATATTTTCAATGGTGTTTGAATCTTATAAGTGATTTCATTACTTTTTTTTTATAATTATGTAATTAATTTTTATATGTTTAGCGGTTGATACAAGTAACATGTAATTCCAGTAACATTATCTATATCGTGTACACTGTATTTATTCAATTTTTTAAATTCGTCTGCTTATTTTTTTATTTTATTTATATTAGGTTAATTAAAAATTACCATCTAAAATAATCCTTGTTCCAGCTAAAAGATTCTAAAAATAAATAAATGACATAGAATGACAGATACATGGAAGATTATTTTTAAAATACCATTTCTTAATGAGTTCAACAAAACAAGTTTAATTAAATTTTCTTCCAAGAAATGACGAAACTCTTTTTTAAATTAAGAGAAAGAGAAACATGAAAACCTTGCAAACGAAATTGAAGATTTTCCCTCTGTTAGTAAAGGGAAAAGAAACAAAAATAATTTAATAATTTTAGGGACAACAGATCTGAAGGCTTTAGTTTTTAATTGGCATCTGTCCCAGATCTTATTTATTTTCTAAACCTTTTTGAAAAGACATTTCCAAAGGCTTACTTGTTTAATTAATAATATTAAATGTAAAGGATACCATTATTATTATGCTGATACATTTATTATTTATTCATTATGTGATGTTGGCTAAACATATCTGTTGCGAGAAAAAGTTAGTGGTGGGGAGAACTATACTTGCAAGTGGTCATTTTAATTTTTTTTTCCAACTTGAGGTTGCGCCGCGTACTTACTAGACTGAGCGGGCCAAGATTCATTTCTGGGGGCCGCAGATAAATAAATATTAACCAACTCAGGTGGGAATCGAACCCAAAACGTCCAAAAATCGGCAGTCAGATGTGTCTCAACGTACCCAGGCCGTCTCATCAAACCATTACTAAATAACATTAGTATACTAATCAATGTTACTGTGTGACAGTTAACTATAACTATAAATTGCGAAGTAGCAACCAATATTAGCGAATAAAGAGATTTTATAATCTAATTTTAAATAGTTATATACTTTTATAAAAATAAACTTCTATAGACCAATTAATTTGGGCTTTTATTCTACACCATTTCAACCAAGCCTTTATAATATCATAAAACGCTGAAATTTTATCGCGTAATAAAATAAAAAACATCTTACATAAAAAACAGAAGAAAATAAAAATCCCATTTTGACGCCATAAAATAGTAGAAAAATAAAGTCGATGATTATATTACTTTTTTTAATTTAAATTTAACTATAGATGAAGTGAGAAATGGTGGGAGATATATAAGCATGTGAACTAAAGGTTACGTAAATTGGAATTTTTCACTTAATTATATTTATTGTATATAGGTATGTATGTGTTCTTCTTATTCATTTATTTTTAGGTTATTTTATTCTTATTTATTGTATATATGTTATTTTTCTGTATAATTTATTTTATTTACTGTACATAGAGTGTGGATGTAATCTGTGAACACTATTATAAATGTCCTTGAGACAGATTGTAATATTTTTCAATAAATAAGATTAAAAAAAAAAAATTATTTAATGTTATATTATGCGATATTTTCCACCAAGAAAAGAAACAAAATTAAAGCGTGGTCATAAATTATCATTGAATTATTAATTGCCTTCAATTTAACGATTTTTTTTAATGGGACTGATAGTTTGATTATTCGAGTCCGGCTGTGGCAAGTAATTATTTATTAGGCTTCTCCAGCCGTGAATAGACCATGGGATCAGAAAACTCTTCTGTGGCACTCCCAGTCCCTATAAAGTGCGTATTATTAATTAAATATTTAATAATTAAGAGAAAAAACTTGGAGGCTGAGCTTGATCTCGGCCCGATCAATTAGCTGCACAACCGTCAGTCTTGAAACAGTGCTTACATATAAATTACAAATTCCAAGACCCTTCATGACTTGTCGTGTTACAGGTTATTTTTTAATGAAATAGTCTGTGGTACAGACTCCTTTTTATTGAATTATTAACATACGGCTGAAACTTCGTAAACAGCTTCATCTTATTGTAACCTATAAATATTTTATTTACGAAAATTCTCGTAATTAGGGCGTTTTTAATCTGGAAGTAGGCAAACTTGGTCTATTTAATTAGGTACTAAAAACTCATACATACACATTTGCTTCCAACTAAAAAAAAAAAAAAAAATCAGTCGATAAAAAAGATGGTCTACAAAAATATATAGCCGTTTGGCCTATATAACCTTACTATTTTGAAAATTCGGGGATGTAGGTTACGCCAAACGATTCAATATTTTTGAAGGCCACCTTTTATCTCGACTTTGTATAGTTATCTTACGATTCAAGTTGAAAGCGAATGGGTATTTACGAGTTTTTAATACCTAAGTAAATAGACAAAGTTTGCCGACCTCCAGATTGAAAACGCTCCAATTCCGAGAAATTTTGTAAATAAAGTATTTGTAGGTTACGATGAGATGAAGATATTTACAAATTTTCAGCAGGATGTTAATAATTTGATAAAAAAGGGGTCTGTACCACAGACTATTTCATTAAAAAATAACCTGTAACACGACAAGTCATGAAGGGTCTTGGAATTTGTAATTTAGACTATAAATAAATTTATCTATAATGGATTTTTTTTATTACACTTTTATATTTACCATTTTTCGGTTTTTATTCTCTACTCTTATTACTATTATTTTATGTATTTACTGTTGATACTTTTATCGTGTTACTGTTATTTTTCACTCTTATTATTTTGACATGTGTGATTAGAGCGCCTCTCCCCGGTCTCTGTTGGTTCTTAATACCAGTAATGCGGTTGAGTGCGAAGCTCTGGGATCTCTTAGAGTCCTGCCTTTCCTTCCACAAATGAGGAGAAAGGCTTGGCTCGAAGTTCTTTTGAGAGTATGGATTCTGTAAATATTGTATAGTATACATGTGTTGTTATTTCGATTAGCTTACTTCTTTTGTTTATGTACATTTACTTTTATTATTATTAGTTTCTTTACTATTTATTTGTATTTATTGTAAATATAATGTGAATATGCTCTCTAAAAACTATTATAAATGTCCTTAATTGTCACAGATTGTAATATTTCTGTATAAGTAAATAAAATATATATATATATTTTTGACACTTTTATATTTTTCGTTTTCCTTATGTTATTTTATATTTTTTGCCCGCATGACGATCCACATGTTTGGGTCGAAACGTCGGTCACTACTAAAAGAATTTTTTTTACTGAAATTCCTGCCAATTTTTTCAGCTATATTTGTTTTACATGTACCGTATTGTTTAATATTGTGCATCTGAGGATTGTGGTTGAATAGAATGTCAAACGTTTTTCTATTTAAAAAAATGGTAATAACCAATAAAAAAATAATTTTTTATTAATAGAGGGCATTTAAATTATTTTCAGAACGGGAAAACTTCATTACCCAACCAATGTTTGCGGGCCACTGTTCGAAGAGGAACTCGAATTTTGGGGACTCGACTCAAACCAAGTGGAACCTTGCTGCTGGTCCACTTACAGCATCCACAGGGACACACAGGTTTGTTTATAAGAAACGTTAATATATTTTTATATTATATATTTATAACATGTATCTGCAATTCAAGGTAGTCAAAGTTATTTCTGATTTATTTATTAGGACTCTACATTTCAGAATTTCCTCTTGAAAATTAAACTTATTGACCGCCGAGAAAAAAGTTTAAAGAACTAGATTGATTTGATTCAATGTAACAGGATCTGGAATGGGAACAGTTGAAAACTTTCTTCAGAAGAGAGAAAAATGTTACGTCAATGTAAAATTTATTTCAGGACTGGTGCATAATTTTCTTTTATAGCCAAATAAAATTCCATCAATTGGCGCTAATTAGTTTGTAATAAAATATTTTATTAAATTCTGTAGCCTAATTAATACTTATAACTGAACTGAAATTGCATGTAATTAGTCCTTGCAGTAAATCTTTCTTTTCCTCTGTGATAATCTGTTTTTAGCATACATTTTTTTATAGGTATTTTCTTTAATTTTTGTTTCTCTTTCTTTATAATTTATCCTTCTTCTTTTAGCCAGTCTACTATACTGCAGTGTAAGAGGCTCGCATCTAGAGCCTGATCCATATGTCACTTTCATGGACCAATTCTCTTGCCGGCCTCCAGTTTATTGAGGTCCCATCTTGTAGACTTGTTTGACTTCTTAATTCATGATTTTTCCCTCGGTCTCACTATTTTTATTTTTATTTGGAACATGCCCGAACCGCCTAAGTCGACGTTATTCCTCTTCGGTATATTTTTACCTCCATTTTGGTCCTTTTTATAGTGTTTTAATTTTGTCTATTCTCCTTTTGCCCCAATTTTTCTAAATATGGCACTTCCACCGCCTGAAGTTGGCTTTTATGTTTGGTCTTCATTTTATGTTTTGATTTCAAAAATACAATTCATATGTCCTTAATGATTGAGATACCATTCCAAAATCCTAAAAAAAATTAAGATTAAGAATTAATTTTACATTGTTCTATACAGTACATATAGATAATTTTCAAAATGATATTCAATAATTGGATTTGATGAAATATTATGAAGAATATAACGCACCGAAAACAAAAATATATAAGCATGATAGAGCTTTACCAATAAAAATTTAGAATTTTAGAGTGACCCTTGATATCAGTGTTGCGGCTGACACAAGAGACGCTGAGATCTTCTAGAGTCCTTTTCTTCTCACAAGCGAGGAAGGGAGAGACTTGGTGCATAGTTTTCCAGAGTGAATGAATTTTGTAAATATTGTATAAAAATATGTCTGTATTGAAGTTGTTATTTTGATTAGTTTGTTTCTTTGTATTTATATATACTTATTTCAAGTATTATTATGTTTCTGTTAATCTATTTAATTTATTTTTACTAATTGTACATATGGTGTGAATGAACTCTTGCATCTCTATTTATTAACGTCCTTAGTTTTGACGTATTGTAATATTTTTCAATAAAGAAATTATTATTAAAAAAAAATAATTTTATCCAAAGGCAATAACAGAAGATATAAAATCACAAGACGCATGGACTTCGAAATAATATATTTATATATAATATTTTGATATTTTTGGCATTTACATAATTTATTACCACAAATACATCATCCATCCCTGAGAGGTTATACTCCCGCCGATTCTTGGTACTTGGAGGCCTCCTTTGTCCTGGAAGGTCGCAGACATAAATTAATCACCAAGAAGGATACAGAAGCAATGACAGGGCTGGGCCGTGACAGTCCTCATAAACGGATTAGCACTGGCTGAGGATCCTAATCTTGCGGTAATTAATGGCTTCAGCTTCTGTCAGGTCTACCGGCTCGGGTCTGTCCCTCCGCGAGGTAGTCTGCCATCTAACTCTCTGTCATGTCCTGTCTTCATCTCTCGAAAGACCTCATCACTACAGGTCCCTCCTCATTTCTTATGTCATCGCAAAACATATATAATTTTCTATGTGCATGGTTTTATACTCATTATATATTTTTTTATATAATCGGCGATGTTATTAAACTGCGTTTATTGTTATAATAGAGAGTGAGGTAGCTCAGTGGAAGGGTGCTGAGCTTCCAATGCTCAAGGTCCCAGGTTCGAATCTCGGATTATGGTAGATATATTATCTATTCTGTATCACAGGGCGTGGATCGACCCTGGTGTCAGGAAATCCTCCTGGAGCATTTCCAGTCTCTAAAAAGTGGATACTCTTAATTAAGAAATTGATTAAGGGTAGAAAACCTGACGGTTGAGCGTGATCTTGGTATAATCACTTCTTTGCACAACGGATGACCAATAAACAGTACCTTCCCTTGGTAGTACTCAACTCAAGGTACTTCTTGATATAATGCAGTGAAACTTCCCGTTGCGGACACTTCCATATTCGGACTTTTCTCTATAACTACAATCACATTTTATAATTTTCTATTTCCAGCCTTATTTTAATAATTTCAAATATTTAATGAAGAATGATTCTCCAACTCTTCAGTATTTCCAACGGTGTACCCCTCACAGTGAGCCACATCTTGACCGAATGTTATGCATTTCAATCTCTTGGAGACCAACATCTTTACAGAAATAGCCTTGAAGAATCACTCCAAAAGGATCCCAATTCTATTAAAAACTTAATATTGTTCCTTAAGGAAATCATAATATTACACAATATTTAATCGCGCAAATGACTTGAAAGGCAGTAAACTTATAATATTTTTATAAACTCATAAAAAATGAACCTGTGCCACTTTAAAATTTCACTAACTAAGTTGTAAACTTATTATAATTTGTATTTTAGACATAAATCGTACCTTTTAACTCTTCTTTCTGTGATTTTAACATTGAAGTTTAAATTTTCACTTTAAACTAGTCTATCTTGTCATTGTAAATATACCTCATGACTTGTAAATAAACACATTTTCGCACTCACTGAATCATCCAAACCTCTAATAAAATGAAAGAAGTTCTATCACGAATTATTAAGTTAAGAATGAAATTAAGAAGAATAGAAGACGGAACTCGTCTAATTGTTAATTATTATTAACATATTGCTTGTGAAATGTGATAGGGAGCTTACATAAGTTAAACTCATTGCTTAGTTTTATGAGGTTTTTAGTTTATTTACTTCATTCAAATTATTAATACTTCTTTCTCTCCTTTAAGTTTGAATGTATTTTTTTTTTTTTCGCAATTTTATTTTTACTCATTTTTCTATAACAATCATATAACTCCGTTTCAAAATATTTTATTTAAAATCAGAGGTAATGAGAAAGCTACTCTGAACGCACTTGGGCGATTTCTGTTTTTTTTTTTTTTTTTTTTTTTTTTTTTTTTTTTTTTTTTTTTTTTTTTTTTTTTTTTTTTTTTTTTTGTTTACATTGTAATTGTTTTTTTTATTACATTGAGAAAAAAGTTTCTATCTACTGTAAACAAAGAGCCAAAACTAGTTTAACTTTAATTTCCAAATAGCCTTTTTCACTTCTATTTATCTGTGTTTACTTTCGAGATTTTAATTTTGTTAAATTATGAACTTCAAACTTTGTGGTGAAAATTGTTTGAACTACAGAAAAAAAAAAAAGTTAAATTTTAATCAAATTCAGGAAATTTATTTTGGTTGCAGGATAACATTTCTTTCGTTATTAGATTTTTTAAATAACATAATCTTTAGATATTATCTAAATTTTAAAATGAAGAGGGTATAAAAGAGATTTTATACTGTTCTTGTATTTTATTATTTTTTTTTTGTATTTTAATTATTTTCAATTCGATAATTATAAATGTGAGCGTAGAGGTATCATACGTTCTTTGTTTCACTGTCATACGGATATGACTTTTCAGTATTATTATTATGAAAAGATACCTGATGAGCAAAATAAATAAAATTAATTATTTTAATTAGCATTTCTATTGAAGAATTTACTATATGCTTCGCAATTACTATTTGAAAATTTATATAATGAAATCATCCGAACCCTTTCATTTCAAACCTCTTCGATACCTGATAAAGAAAATGGCCTCGTGATCTACTTACGTAAAATGTTTTTAGAGTGCTACCAATGGGTAGTTTCTCAACAAGCGTTATCGGGTGATTGTGTCATTCCTGTGTACATATTTACTGGATGTATTTTTAATTTAATACGGTTGAAAATATTGTAAACAAATATATAGTTGTAATATATATATAATGAAATACATATGCACAATATTCAATGTTATATTTGATTTATATTTTGTTTGAAAATAAGATTTATGAGTGATAAGTATTTTATTTAAAACTGTCATACCAAATAGGGTGTATTGTTTATCTTTAATGCGGCGTATCTGCAAGAGCAATTTTCTCCCTTTTTCTATTTCCGCTTTTCTATCCTTCTTCCTTTATAGCCCTCCATCATCGCACAATGGTACCATGGGAGGTACAGCATTGCGGAGGAGAGCTATAGACGATGTCGGGGGGCTACGTGCGTGGAATAAGGACCAATCCCATGCAATTTTAAAGCAGCTAAGAGGTATCCTGGGAGGGTAATAGAAATGTTCCTGGATCTACTTCCGCAGGATCAGGTATACAGGCCTTCTTCTTCTTTACGGAGTCTGAGATGATGCGATTAAAGAAATGGTGCACTTACTGCGATACTTGAACTAGAACACTCAGAGAAATGACGATTGTAAAATATAAGAAAACATAATAATAAACATATATTAATATGTTTTTGATACCACCCAGGATGCCCATGAGCTATTTATTTAAACATAAACTTAGATCCTGTATTTTCTAGAATTTCACAACAAAACATGTTATGTCTTATAGAAAGGCCAGTGGATTAAATTCACAACAGTTTCAGTTAATGTTTATTTTGTGATAAATTTATACCATTACGAAAATAATGCCCTAATACTATATACCGGGCGGAACCGGGAACACCCCAAACCGCATTGCTATATCTGAACTCAACCACCACATACCAAAAATACAAAATACTTTTCAACCCCCACTCCAAGACACTAGACTCCCAACACCCTGACACCAATCCCCACCATACAACAAAAACCCACCCCCCCCAGCAAAACACTTTATAGCGATGGCCTAAAAACAAAAAACCCACTTACCCTACCCATCCACTAACCCTTACCCCAGACTCTACCACACACACTAAAAAACTCCACCCATCCCACACACGTAAGCAGCTAGAAACCAAACTAACGCCCTAGACCACCGTACCAGTACTCCACCCGTAAACTAACCCATAATGCTAAAAACCAAAACAAAAACAAACCAGCACTAAAAAATATCCTCATTATCCCCTCCTCACACACTAGCACGCTCCGCATAAACAAAGATCTGCATAAACAACCCTCACACCCAGTAGACCAGATATCCCCCCAAGCCTACAAAAACGAAATATCTCCAGTCAAACAACCGGGTTTGACCGACAAAACACACGCCGCAACACATGCCTACGCTTATACTAAACCGTGCATACCCAATACCCACATAAAACCAGCTCAATGAGACCAGTCACACTGACTATACACGCGGCAAATTTAGAACGTACAACCGCCATGGCCCCCACAACAACCACCATTTATGCATAATGATGTGTTTAATCCACCCCACATTCTCTCTACATCTTTGAAAAGCTGTAATATTTAGGTTTTCTCAAACTTAATTTTTGAGAATATCACAGTAACAGCAAATGAGTCGTTTATTTCCTAAATGGACCCTAATCGATTTTATTTAAATCGATATAACTATCGATTCCCTTGTAAAAACACTCGATGAATTCAATGGTGCAATTATTTTTTTTTTCGCATATACTCAAAAATGTGGAGTGAAAAGAGATATATTTATGAAAAAGCTTTATTTTTTTTTTAATGGAATATAATGAAACATGGATTTAATATAATGAAACAACTATTGCGATAAAAATAATACATCAAAATCTTATTAAACCGTTTTCTTAAAATAGAAACTGAAAATAAACTTATTTTATCATACCATTATTGGAAACAAAAAGTTAATATTTTGAACTTTTTTCCCATGAATCATACACCTTTTTTTCTCTCCAAAACAAGCCCTTATAATCATAGTTTATTTTTTTCCAATTGCTACTCTATACAAGTTTCGATATTTTTAATTAATATTGAAATAATCATTTATTATATGAAATGTATGCTAAAAATAAATAAAGTCTTTATTTATTTTTTGAAAATATTGCTTTCGATGCTATAATTGAAATAGAAAATATAATTTCTCCGTTTCCTAAAAATTGTCAATGATGATTAGAGTTCACTTTGGAAATAAACGACTCATATATTTCAAAGCAACTCTAATGTGTCAAAAAAAAAAAAATTAAATCAAGCTTCGATTCAACGAAATATCAATTTAAAAATCGATAATTTTTTATTAGTTTTAATTCGAAATAGTACAATAACGATAAAGTGGTGAATAAGCTGATGGGAAATAAAAAATAAACAGATTACAGAATGTCGGTAGTTTTTTTTTCGAATATGAATTCAAATTTCTAACGGGAATCGATCCATCATCAGACATGCCTTATCGATATTCGTGGTAGCCCCCAGTCAGACGCTAACTGATAGGACGTCATAAATATTTACGGCAGCTGCAGAGAGATAAGCAGCTTTGATCCTCTGCAACCCCCTGGATCAGTATCGTACTAATACTCTTTATTAATACAATCTATATTCAAAATTATTGATTGGAAGATATACAATCCATCTGCAATACAAAATACAAATACAAAATATTACAAATAAAATTAAATTATATCTTATTAGATTTCTACCTATGGGTAGTTTTACAACAAGATTGTTCATGTTATCATATTCATTTTTCACATTTACTAGATGTATTTTTATTTTAACACGGTTGTAAATATCAATATAATAATAATATATTTCTTCTCTCAAATCCTTTTTGATGCATTGAAGACATGTAGAGAATTAAATTATATTATGTTAAAATTGGAATTTATTTGCATTGGGTGAGAGGGATGAGGTAAATTTGTGCCGTGAGCCCACTAAATTAAATATTAATTTTTAAGTAAAGGAGTTATCTTCAACATCTTTTTAATTATATAGTTTTTATAAACAATCGTGGCGAAAAAACTGGCCATGTAAGATACAGAGTAACATATAATTTATCATAGCAATACTTGTATTGCACCATTAAACGTTCTTTTAATATAAACGTTATAGTTGTTTATTTCAAAAATGTATACTTATTTTAAATAATACTAAAATAATAGTTTTTAATGCAATATTTTTATATTTTATTTGAAATAAAAGGTTAAGGATTTTAAGAATATAATCTAAAAATACGATTTAAAAAACAGTAATGCATGGATTTCTTAAATATTACAAAAAAAAATAGTACATCAAAAGCTCCTTAAACCGTTTTCTTAAAATAAAAACTGAAAATAAACTTATTTTATTGTACCATTATTGGATTCAAAAAGTTAAGTTTTTATAGTGCTATATTTAAAACATTCTTCCCATGAATCACACGCCTTTTTTTCTCCAAACCAAACTCAAATAAGAGTTCAAACACACAGAATTTATGAGTCCAATGCGCACAAATCCACGCACCACCTGGCCTTTGCGTACGATCTAGTATTTATGGACAGACCAGCAAACGTGCTTCTTGGAGCATTTGGGTAAGGTGAATAAATACCGGAAAATTAATGTTCCTAATTTTCAGCCTGAAGATTAATGTTTTTAAAAGCAGATGTATAGCAACTTGGAAATATAGAGAAGGAAACAACTACATGAAGAGAATAGAATACGGTTTTCAATGAATACCAACGTTTAAATACATCTAATAAATACCTCGAAATCGCCTAAAAAAATAATAAAATACAATCGAAAACCTAAGCGAGAATAGAGAAGAAAGGTATTGATCAATGAAAATCATATTTACGAACAAAGATTTAACAAAAAGCGTGAAGGCAGAAGTGTACAAGACACTCCTTAGGCCTTTTTTTGTGAATGAATGAAAAGGAAACATGCATCTTAACTATAAAAAAGGAATGCCTGCTGAACATGGCAAAGGATGATTCTGCACAAGATATACGACCCGACATGACAATGAAGCCAGTGAAGTATACAAACAAATCAGGAGTCGATGTACTTGCATGATTATTCTTCACCATTAAGAAAAGTAGGTTAAGATGGTGGTGCTAATAGAGCAGATTGAAATAAAGTAGAATCCCCAAGTTGATTACAGCAGGACATTCAGGAGGAAGCAGAGACTGAGGAAGGCTAATTTAGTGCTGGCAGGAAGATACGGAAGCGGACATGAGGATGCTTGGAGTGAGGAATTGGAGGTGGATGGCCGAGGACTAGAATTGACCAGAATCGTGGAAGGAGCCATGGTTCTTCACATACCATAGCACCATCGGAAAAAATAAATATTTTATTCATGTGACGGACAGATTAAGATAATAAAAACCAATTGTCACACATGTATTGAGTATATTGAAGATCATTAAGCGTTGTGAATTGTCTAGAACTCATTTAAAACAGGAATCCCTATGATCGTATATTATAGTATCTCTACTATTTATTTAATTATATAGATAAAAAATTTCGCTTAAGATTAGAAACACAGTAGGTGTCACCCACGAAGGACGTATCTTACGTATTTGGCAAGAATCGCACATTCTAACACAATATCATTGTAGTTCTTTCATTCTGAAGGCTACTAGATTTGATTCTTTAGGTTTTTGAAAATTGAGTATATAAGGTCAAAAACTTGCTCATACGGATATTTTTTTCGTTTTAATATTAAATAAATAAATTAATGACACTGTTTCACATATATATTTTATAAGTTTACTGGCTTAACGGAACACAAATCGTTGAAGTACCCACACGGCTAAAAACAGGACAAAAGCCTTTTAAAATTTCCTTAAGGGTGCCGAAAATTGGGGGTTTCACTCTGTACGCTCTAGATACAGTAATGAATGGTACTTAGAAGAGGTAAAGACATAATACTCATCCAACCCGCCGTTTATTTTAAGAAAATTATCTGATAAAATCTTCTAAAATTAAGGTAGGTTTTTTGATATCAATTGAATATTTCTGTAAATTCTTAAATGTTATATTATTTGCAAAAATATAAGATTCTAGAAAAAAAAAAAACATCCCTTAGTTGAGTGGCGGAGTATATCACTCTTTCCAAACACAAAGAGAGAGATGGTAACAAAAACAGCCTTCCTTTTGTATTCGAGCAACATAATAGAGCAGGCTACTTAATACGAGAGAAGCCATCCAGAAGAGGCACGATCCTGTTTGTTTGCTTGAGGTAATCTCCGTTACGTTCCTTAGTCTAGCTTATAAAATGCGTTATTCAGTACTTAACAACCATTTTCAAATAGATCTAATTTAGTAAAATAATTATGTATTTTATTGTATATGTAGAAATTATGAATGACCACATAATCACACATACTTTTTTTGACTATTTTATTTATTTGCACCAATGCACAAATTTGTTGTCAACTTTTGTCAACAATCAGCAAATGTGGTGAAAATGCAAGGATATAAATGACCTGACGGCCATAGCGAAGTAAAGTACCGGGGAGCACCTCTTCCCTGATTTGTTTCAATTACCAAGGTTGCTTCAGGAAGGAGATCTCTCATCCAACGTCTTTTTAGTCCCCTCCTCATGTTCTGGAGTATGTCAGCTATTGCCATTTCTGTTATTAATTTGTTGTAATGTCCGTTTGAATTTGTATGAAATCATTGGTAGTGGGTCGTTATATGTTGGTCAACTGTTAGAAGGTGGAAGTCAGGATGTAGAGTTTTGCTAGCCGCGTACCGTAGATTGTAATGTTTGAAGTTTTTGTTGGTGGGTCTTTTAAGCGATACCACATATTTGTGATGAGTATGTCCATATGTACTTAAGTGAGTATATATATATATATATATATATATATATATATATATATATATATATATATATATTCAGTTTTTGTCTCAGTTTCAGTTTTGAAGATTTAGTGAGAAGATTATAAAGAGTTTTGAGTCGTTTGTTAAGTATCTTATGTTTCATTTTTTCAGGGCATCGATGTTATAGTTATTTATACTACTTTACCACTGCACATAATTTTAAGTGTCTTGTTGTAGTTTGAAATGCTTTTTATATAGTTTTGTATAGAGTACGTTTACGTAATGTTTTCTTTGGGTTTTTTTTTTCTATTGTCTTTTTTAGGCCAGATGTGGTCTTTTAATTTTGTACTATGTTATTCTCAAGTTACTTTGTTCCAAAATAAAATTATTATGTATGTATCAATCTAAATAATCAATTGCGGTAAACGATAATTATTTTTTCTAACATATTTAGTTCTTGTCTACCATCCAGATTTTATAACCAGCAACATTTTCGTAAGTAGTTGCAATGTTTCTACAATAAAAGATCATTTTTTTTTATTAAATCTTAATTTTTAGCACTTTTTCCTGCACCCTTTCATTTAGATAAATGTTGATAGAAATTATATATTGGTAACACGATACCCTTGGAAAGGATATACGATCCAATATAATGCCGATATAAACAGAAATAAATGTAATTAAATACAGTTGAGTGCCACTTCAGGATAGGGATGGCAATTGACAGTCCATATTATCGAAATATCGATATTTCCCTTCAGAAATTAGATAGTATATAATTCGATATTATCGACTTTCGATGTCGTCGCTATGATATTTTAATATGAAAATTAAAATTTAAACTAGAAATATTGACTGCTACTTACGCTGACGATACAAAAATTTTAACAAAAAATCACGACCCCAGACTAGACGCACTGAATTTACAAAATTGGTGCTCACTTTGGAAAATAAGATTAAATCAGGACAAGCCACAACATATAACATTTACACTTCGACGAGAAACGTGCTCACCAGTTTATATAGGAGAGAACCAAATTTCTCAGACAAACACAGTACGTTACCTGAGACTAATATTCGACAGAAGGATGACCTGGGGCACACACGTCAAAATGTAAAGACAGACTGCAAACAAGCGACTGAAAATACTGTTCTCACTTTTTTCCAAATCAAAATTGAAAATCAGTCAAAAACTCAATACATACACTTACCTACTCAAGCCCATATGGACATAGGCCTCATAAATTTACGGTTCTGCAAAAAAGACACACTAACAAAAACTTCAGATATTTCAATCCAAAATTTAACTTAGTAACAAGAGCTCCTTGGTACGTCAACAACAAAACTTTACATAACGACTTACGACAACCAACTATAGACCAACACATCCGCGATCTTTACTCCAGATTTCATCTTAAACTACATCACAACAGACTTATTAACGAAATGGCCAAAGCTGACACGTCTATCAGGAGACGACTAAAGAGGAGCTGGATGAGAGATTTCCTTTCTTAATTTAAGGGAATAAATCAAGACCAGGAACAAGTGCTGTTGGGTACTATTTTTTTCCTTGCCTAAAATGTCAATTTTTCGTATTACTTCCAGTGGATAGAAATATAAGGACAAAATATAAAAATTAAAACTATTGTTTTCGAAGCGATAGGAATTATATATGATTCTAATCGTTAGAAAAAAATATATACTCATCTTGCCTGTTGCATATATATGTAGGGTAGACTATCGATGGCCATCCATAAATTGAGTTGAAAAGCGCGCGTGGGACTCTTCACATTCAGTGAACTTAATTCGCACAAATTTGTGAGTTTCTCAAACCAAGACCTCGAATCGTCAAAGATATCTATGTAGGATGTAAATATATGGGTAAATTGAACTTAAAATCAGTTGAACGGAAGTTTCTGCGGTAAAGCGGAGGATGATGAAGAAGGACAGAAACTAGAATATTAATCTTACCAAGGAGGGTAGAAGAATTGATATTTCCATTGATTAATTTAAAGAAAAAAATAACATTTTTTATGCATCTATGTACTAGTGAATTAATATTTATATCCATTTTCATATTTCAAAAATCATCGACTATCTATATTTCAAATCCAATATTTTGATATTGAGTGTTTAATTTACTATGCCAATCTCTTCCAAGGCTGTCAGAGATATTGTCATAATAATTTTGCTTTAAGAGCTGGTGATAATTTATTGCTGTGGACTGTAAAATTAGAGAAGCTAATGGATTAAAAGAGTGAAGATGGAAAATTGATTGCTTTATTTTATACAATATCATTTAATTTTTTACAGAGGTTAATTATAGGTGGGTTGGGGTACTTTCATTTTCTCTTTTATTGTATTTGCTAGTTTTCTCGGTCATCTTCGCTCTCTTCCTTTCTTGGCCCCTTGCCTGCCGATGTAGTCTTTTACTCCATATTCATCAAAGCAGTAGAATTTCGAATATTCAAACTGACCAGTCTCGTTAATCTGTCACGCTACGTGAGCGTCTACGCTTCAGTAATGGCGACGTCACAATAAAATCTGAAGTATATATGCAGTGTGATCCAGATAACAGCTGTGATGTGTTTCTTGATTTAATTTAAATTGCATTTAAATCGATAGTTTGGTGTGTGTCCCTAAACACTGAGTCTTCGATATCTCATCCCTTTTTCAAAAACCCTCTTCCCGCCTAAGAAAATCAGATAGCTAGAAGCGTATCAGTTTATTGTATGGAGTGTTTTTAAACCAGAATATGGAAATGTTTGAAGGAAAATCACATTGCAGAGTTCCTACATAATAGAGAGTAATAATATTCCAAGTTCTAGGAGGCTGCGAAGAGAGTAGAGTTGAGGAGCAATAACATAACGATGTGTGGAACAGTAAGCCCCGGGCTGGCTGGAGCTGGGAGTGTTAGTCGCAATTAAGCCGGACCAAGCCCACTAAATCTCAGTTGAACTTGCTCCCTCAAACTCATAGCCAACTGGCTTTTCATATTTATTGTTTCAGCCATGTTGCCCTCCGATCGTTAGCTTAACTGTACCACTAACATTAGGAACAGCTTGTTGGTTAGAACTATCGGGGAGGAGAAATATTCAGTCCACCTCTCAAAAGTAATCATTTGTCTTTTTTTTTAGTATTGTAACAATCTGTCTGTTGGACATTGGTTATAGTGAGGTAGGATGATATTCACACTATATGTACAAAAAAAACAAAAACAAATAGAACAAAATAATAATCAAAAGTATATACAATAGACAATAAAATAAAATAACCTAAAAAATAAGAAAATTAAAACTAAGAAAAAAAAAACACATGCATACCTATATACAATCAGGCGAGGGAACTCCAGGAGAACCCTGCGCTACTCTCCCAACCGCGTCACTGGTACTAAAGCCAGCGGAGATTGGTCGAGAGCACTTTAGCCACATACACACATGTCTTGAGTGAAGAATCTGGCCATTGCCAGAACTCCAATTTATACAATCTACAAAAGGTC